TGGTTCCTTGACGAAGGGCAGTCAGGGAGACACCGCGGTACAGGGTGCTGAATCCCTCTTCCTTGATCACGGTGAAAAGCGCATGTGGTGCACTGCGATACTTGGGGGTATCGAGAGGGTCCGCCAAACTGTGATGTTGTGCTTGCAAACGAATCTTAACAACCTCCATAGGATTGACCACTGCCACGGCTTCGGTCACACCAGCAGCAAGACCAGCTAGATAGAAGGAGCCCTGTTAGCCTCCACATGACTCACTGGAAAAGGGCTATGGATTGCGACTTACCCAGGAAAGTGGCTTTGCTGGTCACGGCACCGGTCTCCTTATCAGCAAGCATTTGCTTGTATGATTCGTAGGAGGTAAACCGAATTGCCATCTTAGGGATGATACCACCAAGGACGGCACCCAGACCCTTGTACAGACCCATGGCAGTCTCCTTCTTCACGATCTCAACACCGGTGGCAACGAACCCGCGGGGTTTTACCTGTCAGACTGTTAGCTGTGACTCAATGCTTCACACATGGTGTTCACTTACACCCGGTGCGCGGGCCCGGCGGGAGAGCTGCATCCGAACTTTGATGGTGTCTGGCATATACTGTCAGTGGAGTTCTCACCGAGACAGTCAATTGACTTATTTCAGCACATACCAAGAGGGTGACACACGAGCGCTTCCATCATACCGGCACCACCACCAGCTGAATCGCAAATTAGTACAGTACTCACTCAATGCGCCGGGAGGGTTTGCTTACCGATGAGGTTCACAGCCGGGGAGGCTGGCTTCTTGCCATTGCGGCCTTGTACAGTTTTTGCGGACATTGTGAACAATTGCTAATTTTGCAGAGATGTTGTTTTCTCCGTCAATTGGTAAGAAGCTCTTCTGCAAGAGCTATAGCCGGCAACGCAGTGGGACAAGCTTCCAGGCGATCGCTTGCAGCGAAAGTACTTTGACAAAAGGGGGGAAAAGAGGAGAGAAAGATCAAGAGTGAATCGCCAGCGATCCGGAGTCCAGGGATCTTTATTATTTTTTAATTAAAAGAAAGGACGGGGACGATCTCGGAGGTTCACAGGAAGGCCCAAAAATACGGGGAGATACGGAAGTATAACTACGTCCCTCGGCTCTGCCCACCCAGGGTATTTAAATCGGCGAGTGAGGGAGTCACTTGATTAGCGGCTTAGCTGGAAGATCCCAAACATTCGCAAGGCCGTTCTCGGCAATGAGGATCTCAGACGGGCTCGGCTCCAGTGGCGGCTTTTGCTGTCGCTTTGGATTGATTTTAGCCCAGGCGTACCGGGCGTGGAGGGAGCTATGACGGGGAAGCGGAGGAAGCTTCTCTGGACGAGCGGAAGCAATGCCGCCGTCTTCGCACAGTAGACCAACAACCGAACGCCTTGAGTATTAACTTAGGACAGGGTCAACGGAAGGAAAAGAAACTAGTCAAGTGATTGGATTCTGGACTCTCCACGATTTACAATTTCCCTTAACGTGGGGGACATCCCATCACTTATACCCTTACGGCTGCCATCTCCCCGGTGGTGGTTAAGCTGCTCGTGTCTACTGAACCTATTCTACTTCACCCCGAGGCATCGGGAGCTGCACAAAGTCATTCCGAATAACGGCGCGCAGATTGGCACTTCCAGTCCTTGTGGCCCAAAGGTGGCGTGGCCAAAAATGAACTCAGAGTGCCAATGGTAAGCCGGAACCAGAGATCATGGTTCCCAAATGTCAGGTAAGACCGGACTCTTCACATGCTGGAGAGTTCCCTAATGGCTTGGTTTCCAGCATATCGTCGTCATCTGCCAGTCGTAAGCAGCAGTAGCTACCTACACACCTACATAGAAAGCCTTAGCTTGTGACATGGCTTTCTTTACCCCCGAGACACGACCGTGACCCTAAAGTGTGGGGGATAGGAAGTTGGTGCACCAGTCCTATAATTTCCACGGGTAATTCCGGGCCAAGCCTGGGGTCGTTCTTCAGCCGAGGTCCTTTCTCCGTCCGTCGGTGCCGACAGTTGTTAATAGCAAGGGAAATATTCATCCTGTGTGGGATGGATAATGATTACAGTCTGAATATGATAAAAGGAAAAACAAAAGAAAGAACTATGCCTCTCATCTTGTGACCCCCAGGGATTTTCCCCTTTCCAGCTAGTATATTACCTTTTCGTTGCTTCCTTTTTTGCAAGTCACGGGGTTATGCATGTTCCCCTCTCCTGAAGGTTTACCCCACGGTTCATGATTTACCCACGCCCCCCGGAGGTCATTCTTCCGAGCATACATAACGAGATTATTAAGAAAAAAAAACTTATGAAAAAAAAAAAAAAACAGAAGAATCTTTGAACTGCGAGGAGATATGTATTTCTGCTATGGGCATGTCCCAAAACAGACGAAAATAAATGATCAAAAATAAAACCAAAAAAAATATAAAGAAAAAGAGGGGATGAACCGATAAGATAAAAATACTAAAAACAAGGGAAAGCGATCGCTCCCCCAGATCTTCACATGTCAAAGTATAACTGGACGGTTAGTCAGTAGATTGTTCTTAGTTTTAGTTAACCTAGCATATGATCTCTGCTGTTTTGATTATTCATCGCTCTATTCTACCTTAATGTAGAGGGTCTTCCTGCATAGTCCCTATCATGTTCTTTCTTGTCTTATTCTGTGATTCCAGCCATGACCCCATATCTTATGTCTGTTAATGGTGGTGTGGGTTTGTCCATCGGAGAGACATGTACGTGCAGTGTCGGAGTAGGAAGGGCTTGGTCACATAGTGGTACACTTCATGTACTAGTAGGTAGTAGATTCTACGTGTAAGGACCTGAAATCCAATCTTCTCCGATCTGAGTCTTGGACTTGAGACTATGTAAGAGTGCGGGACATAGTAATATGCAGCCTTATCTGGATAGAGCCTGATATATAAGTTAGTATTCTATCGGCGATATACCCCAATAGCAACTATAAGAGACTCGTCATAACTATAAATATTTTCTATAGATCTGTTGGTGTAAACGAATAGTAGTAGCGTGACCGACAACTGTGGAAACCCATGCCAAGGATGAACCGATATCTTTAATCCCAATAAGCCTATGGGAAAACCCCACTATGATTCGAGGGCCCTTCAAGATGGATCAATATCGCTAGTTCAGATGTTGCATTGCCTCATTATCACTAATAAATGTATAAATACTAAATTGAATACTTTCATTCCTTTTTTAAATTATTCTACAGGTTACGCTGCACCACACTATTGATAGTTGTGGTCCAAACTCCGGATCGCGTCAAGCAACCGATAAAATGGACAATCGTTCAGCCTATCAGTTTATCAGCCCCCCAGCTCGGACATGATCCGAGTGTTCTTTTTTTTACCCTTCTTTTTCAACATTCCACCACGCGACAATAATGTTGGTATGTGGAATTTCTTGATTTGGTTTATTCTTTTGGAGATTTGGGATCGCTTTTCTAACGTTGAAGCCAAGATATGAAAATTTCCTACTCCCGACATACATCCCGTATGAGCTGAGCAGCATCAGCAGCAATGTCCATATCCAACAATGACCCCACATCCACCAGGAACATAACACGAACCCTCAAGACCATCGCCCTCTTCATCCTCCACCAATGGCTCCTCATCGGCATCGGAGTCGCCTGCGTCTTGGCCTACTATTTCCCCAATGTCGCCAAGAGCGGCGGCATCATCCGCTCCGAGTATAGCATTCTCTACGGCGCAATGGCCCTCATTTTCCTGATCTCCGGGCTCAGCGTGCCTCGAGAAAAGCTCATTATCCACCTCCTGAACTGGCGACTGCATGTTCTTGTTCAGGGTCTATCGTTCCTCGTTATCCCGGCTTTCATCCTCGCTATCGTGCATATTATCTTGGCTGGTGACCCAGACGAACATATCGATCGCGCCCTGCTGGCCGGGTACATCTTCCTGGCTTGCATTCCTACCACTATCGCTTCAAATGTTGTCATGACTCGCTCGGCGGGCGGTGATGATGCCGCGGCGCTGGTGGAGGTAATCATTGCTAATTTCTTGGGCCCGTTTATCACCGCTGGGTGGACGGTGACTTTGCTGCCGAAGTCGGAGGAGTTTGATGTCTGGAGAACCGGGGATGGGGATCTCTCGGACATGTATCGTGACGTGTTCAAGCAGTTGGGTTTGGCGGTATTGTTGCCGTTGGTGGTGGGTCAGTTGATTCGCTGGGTTTGGCCGGATATTGTGGGTAAAGTGTTGGCCAAGTATCGCATTGCGAAGATTAGCACTGCGTGCTTGATTCTGTTGGTTTGGTAAGTTGATTGATGTGACACGCATAGTTCTAAAGACAGGAATAGTTGGCTAACTGGTGATGTATAGGTCTACCTTCTCTTCTTGTTTCGCGACAGGAGCGCTCCAGACTCTTTCCGCTTCGAGTATTGTCTTCGTGGTCCTGTTCAACATTGCGCTGTATATGTTCCTTACGGCTGTTTGCTTTTATTGTTCTCGCCCGCCGAGGATCATCTCTGGTGTGTCGTTAACGGTGAAAGGGAAGACATTCTATCCCTTTCAGCAAATGAACCCTCAGGAGACTATTGCCGTGTGCTTCTGTGGTCCGGCGAAGAGTACTGCGCTGGGAATTCCGCTGCTCTATGCCATGTGGGGCCCGTTGAGTCTGTATATCAAGTCGAAGACGTCTGTGCCTGTGCTGCTATATACCACGGAGCAGATTTGTGTGGCGCATTTCTTTGTGCATATGTTCAAGTGGTGGCATCGGCGGGTTGAAAGGAAAAGTGCTAGTGTGAGTGATGTGGAGTGTGATGGAGGGGGAAACGCAAATGAAAATGGGGAGAAGATGGACTGTCCAGTGTCTGAAGCTGCGTGCGGGAAGGATTTGGAGGATAAGAGCAAAGGGGCAGGTGTGAGTTTGTCCCAGGAAGGTAATAAGTAATAGTAATAAAGCATAGACAAGCATTTAGCACATAGAGTTTACATAGAAATGGAATCGTATATAACATAAAGGCAACCCGCGTGCCCCAATCACGCAGTCGAACAAGGGGAAATGACAAGTCCCTGGCGTTTGATATCTAGAAAGGCATATAGACAAGGGAAAAAAGGGCAGAATTTATTGCTCATCAAATGTAGCTCACTTTCACCCCCATCCCGACAGTCCCCTTGATTTTCTGCCAACCGGAGCCTGTTATCCTCCGGATGCGCTCCCGCACGTCTTGTCGGCTTAATGCGGCTATGATGCCGAGCATGAACAAAAGCGTCCGCGCGAATGATAGTGGGTTGCCCGCGATGCTCTTGCTGACGTATTTCAAGATATTACGCACCACATTGATCAGTGCGCGTGATTGCTTGGCCCGCGCCTCGGGCTTCTCGGTCTTTTTGATATTCTTGGAACCAGGAGGTGAGAAGGCCGTCCGACCCGCGGAGGTACCTGGTTTGCTGGATTGCTTCTCTGCGAACCTCCCTTTGCCCTTAATGCTGCCATTGGGATAGGTCTTCTCAATCCCGTAATCCACCTCACTACCGCTGCGCCCATGTGCTTTCTGCGCACGTTCAGCAGCCTCAGCTTCCTCTACCCTGCGACGTTCTTCCTCTCGCGCTTGTCTCTCTAGCTCAGCATCCTTCTCCCGCTGGAGGGCAGCGGCGCGCAGCTCCCCTTGCTGTTTCTCTTCTTTCAGGCCTTCTAGCGTCTGCAGAAATAGCTCCTTCCGGTCCTCATCGAGAACTTCGCTCAAGTTGATGAACTCCTGCGCATATTCCCACTCTTCATTTGCGGGAAGAACATGTAGGGTGAACAGCTCGATTATCTTAACCCTAGCAGCCAGGTCTTTCGGGGTATCCGTACCACCATTTGCCCGCGGTGTAGATGAGCCACTAGTCAGATGGTCTGATATATCTAGATTGGGTTGTCCGTAAGACGATAGGTATGTTTCGAGTCGTTGTTGATTGAGTTTCTGTGAAGGCGAGTGTTTCAACAGGAGGGTTGCTCTGCGGTAAACGACCATTGTCAGTAATGAAAGTAGCCGGAAATTCGACGTGATGACTGACAGGTTATATACGACTTCTGCATCCACTGATCCCTCCAAGCCTCTATACCCCGTCCGTACAACGGTCTCCCAGATCTCACCATCGCGAACGGTGGTCGAGATAGCCTTCCATTCTTTCTGCCCAAACAACTTCTTGCCTTCTTCAGGTCCCAATTCAATGATTTGGCTCAAGAGTGTAATGTACAGATTCCACACTTTAATCCGCCAAGTCGGCTGGGCTGAAGCAACGGGCGCGACGGAATCATCGCCATTGACGAACTGCTCGTCGGCTCCCCTGACCACCGTAATCGCAGGCTCAAGGGCTGAGAGTGCTTCTTGTAACCGTAGTGTCAGAAAGAGATTTGACGCCTTTTTATATGTTTTTGAGCAAAGCTTGGAGGGAGACAATGAGGATGTGGACGAGGAGAGGAGTTGCGACTGGGACGCCGACATGTAGGAACTATCGCCGGCCATTGTTCACCGCCAGCGGAAAATGCGACGGATCGGAAAGAGGAATCAAAGAAGGGAAATCGAATGGAACGTGCGCGGCTATCAATAAAGGCAGAAACTGCACGAGGGATAAATGGATGCGATCGAATTGGAGCTTTGGGTGGTTGGGACGGTAGAGGGAACAGCGTGACACTAAGTTGGGCTAAGAACAATGCTTGGACTGGAGGAGTTTCAGCATCACCTCGGCTCATGCGTTTCGCTGGCCGAGAGTCTGGGGTCTGATGTCACGGGACGCCGCTGCCGGAAACTCCCCAAAATAGACTCTCTACGCCTGAGGCTTCCAGGCACAGCTCCAGTCGCGGGAATCCAGTGACGATCTTCCCCTCTCCATCATTCATCCATTCATGAATCTTGCTGGAATTTGTTGCTTGTGTCTCGGCTGTTCCTTCTCTGGTATTGCAGTGTAACCGGGTCTAGAATATTCCGACTCTTATGACAAGCTTCTGACTGGGGATCTCACAGTATTCTTTGTTTAGGCTGATCCACTATCTACTACTCCGTCCTGATTCACCTACATGACACAATAGCCAGATACGCATCCCTTGTATCTGCCTTACTTCCACTCTTCAAGTTTTATATATAACTGACTCTCCTTTGCACGGTGCTACTGCATCGTTGGACTGCCGAAAACCATGGATATATCCGCCCAAACATTCTTCTACCACCTGCCCAGAGTATTGGATGACCTGGCATCCTGTTGTTTCGTATCTATAGACTTTGAATTCTCTGGCATCGCCAAAGGCCTCGGACCTTCTCCCAAGAGCAGAAGCACCTTGCAAGAGCGCTATGAGGAAGTCAAGAATTCTGCTGATCAATACCAAATACTACAAGTTGGCTTGACTATCTGCCATGAGGATCCGGAGACAGGTTAGACACACATGTCCACCACTCCAGGTTGATGTGTTAATAGCGCAATCACAGAAACGTACACCTTGAAGCCATATAATCTATACTTGAGCCCAATCATCGACCGGAAGCTGGATCTAGACAGAAATTGTTCCTTCCAAAGCAGTGGTATGCTCGTTTCAAAGCTGCCCGCATCCCGTTAACCTAATACGATCTACTTAGCCGTCGAGTTCCTCCTGGAAAACAAGTTTAGCATGGAAGACCTGTACAAGAATGGCGTCACCTACTTGTCGAGAGACGAGGAAAGTCGAATAATGGCCAGAGTCATGCAGAGAAATGAACGCACGACAGCACGCAGCTCTCTGGATGTCGCGGACCATGAGCATGAGTCTATAGCCTTTTTAAAGGATGCTCGCCGTCTTGTAGATGATTGGCTGGCGCTTGGTAAAGTAATAAATTCGGTCACATTTAGTACTGCTTTTCTGACCGTGATAGCAGGCCCGGGAGAATTACCTTAATATCCCGCCACCTAGACCTATTAATGGACCTGCTCCACCCAATCACCCCAAATCTATGCCGACAGACCTCAATAGGTTTCAAAAGAGGCTTGTTCATCAGCTCATCGAAGTGGAGTATCCGAGTTTGGTGACTGTCAGTAGGCCGGGATTTATACAGATAATCGACTACGACGAACAGCGCGAGAAGGCCGTTCGCGATCAGAGGGTGAAATGGGTACAAGAAAGGATCTGGAAACAGACTGGATTCAGATGGATCGCGGAGGCGCTAGCTGGGGGCGATCTGACCAACCTTGAGCCTTTCTGCTTCATCAATTTGATGTCGTCTTCGAAGGAGAACCCCCAAAGTTCCCTTCAGGACTTCTCGCGGAGGGTGAAGCAGCGATTGCAGAAGAATAGGCCTATTCTGGTGGGCCACAACCTCTTCACGGACTTAATTTACTTTTGTCGGTGCTTTTTCGGGCCTCTCCCGGACCGTGTGGAGGATTTCCAAGCCATGGCTCACAAGATGTTCCCGGTGTTGATGGATACGAAGTATATGGCTACACACAACTGTGGCTCCATCAATCCCAGGTCTTCCCTGCAGGAAATCAATGACAGCCTCGCTGCACAGCCAACACCAGCAATAAGTAGGTCAATAGCTATGTTGTCGTTCCTCACTAATGTCAATCAGGTATACACCCTCAGTTTACCAAGTACAATACGCGGGCAATTGATCACGAGGCCGGCTTTGATAGTTTGCTCACTGCTCAGGTCTTCATAAAACTTTCTGCACAGCTCCGAGACAGGGGAACTTCCGGAATTCCGCCAACAGTTCCAAAGACGCCTCAACCCAGTGAAAAGTCCAAGGAGCCCACGAAGCAGGTCATCGGCGACTTCGAGGCTACTGTCGTCCTACCTAGAGGTCCCAAGTCGAACAACGTCCGTATTATGTTCGGCTCTATTGAAGTTGAAAAAGTCGTCCAAGACAACGGCGGCAAGGACGCTGGCGAGGTAACCAGAATTTCCCTAACACCCCACGACTCTCCTGAGACACAGAAGAAAGCCGACGAGGGCCGATTGATTCCACGCTTAGGCGCGCAATTCTGGGAGATTTATGGAAACAAATTGCGCGTCTTTGGTACAAATGAGAGGGTATGCCACATTGGCTAGGCCCTCTTAAAAGCCAGCCAACATGCCCAATGAGCGTTGACCACTCACTACACTCCATGATTACGATAATAGTAGCTCCTAGATACCAGAATACCTAGTTTGCATAATTAAATAGCAACAGCTACAGTCTCCATAGGCGAAGCCGTATGAATGAATGTATGCAGCGTCTATCTAACAGTACGCCTTGATTTGAGAAGGTACCGCTAGCGAAAAATGGCCGCAAAAACCGCTCTGAGCACCGGAAAATGATCGACTGGTCGTGGTTACTCAACGCAGTGATGATAAGGAAAGGTGCCGTAGAGAAGAAAAGAACAGAAATGGGCCGCACTGCAGAACTTTTAAATCAAGCGGAATGATGGATCACATGACATACTAGCCCGGTCGGGACTAGCTCCGTCCCGACGCTCCCTCGCAGGTGACCGCCAACTTTTCTCGCTATATTGTCGGCCTCCGGACCTGTTGACAAGTACCCCAGCATATAACCAACACATTTGGAGATGTCGTCAGGGTCCAATGGTGCCAGGCGCGTAGCGTCGCTTTTGCGTATGTGCTTGCTGATCTGAAATTCAAAACCAATGCGTGTCCGTACTGACTGCTCCAGGGCCTGCGATCTCCGATCCCAGAGTGTGCAGAAGCTGTCAAGAGACGCTTGTCCGCCGCAGTTACGCCACGGCCTCTACACAGGCTTCCACAGAAACTCCCTCCGCCGCCGCATCAGCCTTCCCCGTCGTGAAGCCCATCCATACCATCAAGGCCGGCGTGGTCCTCTCCCGTCCCCCTCAAATCACCCGCGACCTTACCGACTTCGAGAAGGCGTACTATTTCTACCAGAAGCGATTGAACGAGCGTCTCCAGCTACCTTTCACGAAATACTTCTACTTCAAGCGTGGAACGCCCGCCGACGAGGACTGGAAGCGCAAGATCCGCGAGCGCCAGACCCCCGCACGCGACATCGGCAAGTACAACCCGTACTCGAAGGAGGCATGGAACGATGAACTCCTCGTTGGAGCCGTCGAGTCGGACCCGGCCCACCAGGTGGAGATGCTTGTGCAGGATGCGGAGTCGACGGTCAATGCCACTTCCCAGGATACTAGCAAGAAGGAAGAGATTCCGAGACCTTTCCCCCGGGTGACGGAGGCGGACCAGAAGAACGATCAGAGAAGCCTCAACCGGGCACTGCAGAGGACTCTCTATCTCCTTGTGCAGTCCAAGGATGGATTCTGGACGTTCCCCAGCTCTCCTATTGTGGCTGAAGAGACTCTCCGTCAGGTAAGTTCCGCTGACTCTGCTCAGTGTTTCAGCAGCGGCAGTGAGCGCTAACGCTATCTGTCAACAGGCCGCCGAACGTACCCTCGAGCAAGCTGCCGGTGTCAACATGAACACCTGGATGGTCGGCTACCACCCCGTGGGCCACTACGTCTACAACTTCCGCAACCCGAGCAAGCTGGCAACCGGCCCCGCAGGCGAGAAGGTCTTCTTCATGAAGTCGCGCATCATGGCCGGCCAGGCCGATCTTTCCGGAAACGCTCAGAACCTGACCGACTTCAAGTGGCTGTCGAAGGACGAGATTTCGAAGTTTGTGAAGCCGCAGTACTACGCCAGCGTCAAGAACATGCTGGCCGATCGGTAAGCCGGTGTTTCTTAGGTGTGATGGAGTAGTAGTGTATGGATATGAATAGTCGTCGTTGTGCGGACTTGTTTCTTTCCCCGAGGGGGTATTTGTGCCCTTGGTTGGTAGTACAGCAGGTCTGAGTCTTGCATATATCATCTCGTCGGTCATGTATAACTAGCTTTTATTGTTTTCTTTTCGCTTTCTATTTGCAATGAAGACCTTTCTTGTTCCTAAGACTATCCCAAATCAACCGAACGCCATGCCGATTCCTTCCCAGTTATAGTGGCAATAGACATAAGTAGGTATCTTAAATGCAGAAAAGAATAACTAATGACTACTTCAAGTTGAACTTCTGCCCCGTAATTGCAGGCTGATTCTTCGACGAACTCCCCGTCAACCCCTTCCCACACATCGGACACGCTATACGGCGTTAGCCAAATCATCCTTCAATAGTAATGTAAAAAGAAAGAAAACGAACCATTCTTCTGATACGCACACCGCTGACAATACTTCCTCCCCTGCTCCGTTTTGGTTTTGCAAACCTCACAGGAGGAAGCATATGCCGCGTAGGGGTTCTTAGCCTTGGAGCTGAGGAGTTTGCTCTGACAATTCATTAGCACCATCATCATCATGTTATATAGTAGTAGCAACAATAGTAATAGTCGTAAGAAATAAGGAATGCTAGAATAAATGATATACATACCTTCCCAATCCCCGTGCTCCCCAATGTACTAGACTTGGCTTTCCCTCCAGCAGCACCAGCACCAGCACCACTGCTGCTGCCACTGCTACTACCACCGAGCGTTGTGGCTGGTGAGCCATAGTACATTTCTGTTTTGCGTTTCACGCCGGGAGTGGCGAGCTCCGTTTGTTTGAGTTTCTTTTGGCATTTGGCGCAGACCATTTTCTCTTGCTTGTATTACTTTTGGTGGGGGCGGGTTGAAGGGAGAAGTGAGTATGAGCCGTTGTATGTTGAGTTGGTGGAAGGTGGTG